GGGGGGTGGTGTAACGACACAAACAGGACAGGCCATTTCATTTCGAAGACTGATAATTAAAATTTGGCTCAAAAGTAGGAGGAAAGAAAGGACTGAAAGGAAAGCAGGCCACTGCGATTGATCAAAGTTTATACATCCCAGACCAACACTGAAACGCTGAAGTTGACAAATAATAATCATGTGCTATTATTTCCAATTTGGATGGTCTTCACCCTCCCGCTGATATGCTGCGGATCTGATTATTTTACCACACAAAAAGGGGATAAATAAATAGATAACTATGTTAAGACTTACCTCATTGTATGGCTGTCTTTTTCCAGATACTGTTTACAGTTGCGAATGGAACAGAATATAATGGGACTAAATAAAAAAGAAATAAAAACTCCGCTGAGAGAGTGAAGAGAACCGAAACCTAGCCTACCGCAAAATATGTAGGAAAACAAATCCGCAGAATACTCCAATATCAACAACTATACCAATCTATGCACTTAACGATCTAGGATACTGGTAACTGTAACTGTGGAACAACAGGTGATTTATTCTTTTAGCTTTTAACTTAGCCAACTTGGCCCTTTGTAGGCCTACAACAAAGCAGTTCACGGCACACAACAAAATAATCCGGGCCCAGGAATGACAACACAGAGAGTCCGTGTGTGCGGAGGGAAAGCTGCGGTACACTGACGCGATAAGCCTGTTTTGGTAGTTTTCAAGGTCTCTGGCCACGGTCTGGAGCTGGTCTGGAGAATGGGCGTATACAAAAATAGAAACATCGGTGGCTGTGGGGTAGCCCCAGCAGCTCAAGAGTTTTTCCAAGTTTCGGGAAGCGACAAGCCTTCGTGAACTAACTAGCAGGAGATGCGCCTACATGTAGTTTCCGCCCTCCACGATGGCGTGGAGTGGACGGTGCGGGTGTGTGGTTAAAATGTCACGCGGACACTTTCTTTCATGGGCCAGGCAGAATAAAAGTGGGCAGTTGACCCAGTCGTGGGAACACAGTACACGACAGTACAAATCTGATGAAATCTTGGGTGTACCCGCTTGCAGTCAACCGGTTTAAACCGAGCAGTAATGAAGGGAATGGTTTTCACGAAAACAGCCAAAATAATCACACATTGTATTGGTTTTCATAGGCTGTTCACAGCTTCTTGTGACAAAATGTTTATAAAACACCTACTAAAACTTAACTTTCTTCTCGTGTACTAACTATATATCTGCTGTCGCATCGTGTTAAGCAAATCAAACAGCCTGACACAGACACTAAAAATAAAGACAAAAGGGGATAATGTTCTTTTAAGGAACTCCTCTGAGCGCCCCCCCCCCCAACCCTATCAAGTCCCGTAAAATTTGGGCTTAGTAGATTAAAGCCTAAACCTCTTATAAAATACCCCCCCCCCTCCCCTTGCCCTCTATCCTATTGATTTTCCAGATTACACAATCATATAAACCAGTTACCGAGCACATCTCGAGAATTTAACCGAATAATCAGATCTTCATCCTCGGATCTTACTCACTTCTTATTAAAGTAGTTTTGAAGTAAACAGTGGTAAGAGCTTGCGTAGGCGTGTGGATGGGGTCAAGGAAGAGACGTATGCTATCAGATGTCAAGCATGCGGGTTGGTGAAGCATAAGAATTTCCCTAGAATATCAGAGGATTCAACTTGGGTCAAGACAGAAAAAAGAGCATTGGACACGAGGAATCAAAAGAAGGTGGAAAGGTTGGAG